GTGGTGGTATTAGTGCGGGCTGACCATGTGTCAAGCAGACCTGTCTGTTGCTTTAAGAACAAAAGCCACCATAAGAGCACCATAGCTGAGTTGACTTTTTGTCAAGAAGTTATTAGTCTCAAAGCCTCAAAAAAGAACAAACAAGCTGGCCCAGACCAGGACGACAGAATGCGCGAGAAGTTTATGGGGCTGATAAGTGAACACTAAATGAATGTGTTTACCAAAATGGTTATTTTTGTTTTCATACTTAAGTTTCAGCTCATAAGTATATAATCCAATATTTACAATAGCAAGTGACAGAATGCATCAAATTGTTTTCACCATAAAAGACTCATTGCCTAATTAAGTAGAAATTCAGCTTGTAAAGCTGCACATTGTATTGAAAAATCAATGTCAGTTGCATGGACAAAAGTCAGCCAGAGATGTAATAGCAGGAAATTGACCAATTTTCATGGGCCATCAATCCACACTCCATGTTTTTTAGAACATGCACATGCTATTGCTAGTCCAAATAAGCTTATGTTTTCTTTAATGTAACAGTATTTGAGTCTGAATTGGTTTGGGCTTTGTGAGCAAGATAGTTCTGTAATGCAGTTTACTTTTTCAGAACAAGTTCCCAAGATTAAAAACCTTAAAATGAACTCAAAATTTGTACATTGACAGCAGACATAGTATGATAGGTCACCATCTACTAGAAATACTAAACTTTTTTAATGCTGGTGCAGATATACATGTATAGTAATGTATGAAATGTATCACAATTATGTTGGCCTGCTTACTGACTGCATCATGGGCCCATGTACATGGAATAGATGTAAACCGACATTTGTGCAGCCTGCAAATCATGGATTGTTGGCTAAAAATTAGATAATCTCCTTGAAGCCCAGAACAAAATATATACATAGTTGCATATGCAGTATGTGTGTGTGTAAATATGTAACCAAATCAGTGGTTCCTCCATCCTGCCCATCTGCTTACCGATCTGGCTCGTCTGTCATTACGAAGCATTCTCACATCATGTTGCCCTTTGGACTGTGGATGCATTGGGCTGCATTGTACCATTGCGTGTCAGGAGTGTCAAACTTTCGTTGCAAATCTCATTTCTCGGCCGCAATAGGCATCAAGGTGCACCCATTCACCCCGCGCTCCACCGCCCCTTTCGTGCCGCGACTCTTCGCACTGTATTTGAGCTGATGACGGATTGCAGCGAGGATTTGTCTAATGCAGCATGTGCACGTCAGCGGGTCTTTATGCCGAGCAGCTGGCATTTACAAGTGATCGGCACGGCCAACTAGCAAAACAGCAAAGACTTTTGCAGAATCGATCTGCAAAAATCTCTGTCGACTTCGCCAGCCCAGGTCCAGTTCCAGTACCAATAGTGGCACTAGAACCGACGAGATTTAGCTTGCGCAGTCACTGGCGTCGGCTTTTAAGTCATTCGGGAAGGCCAACAATTTCCGGCGCCGCCCACTGTTGTGAGTTCTGGCACGGTTGCCGTGCCGCCGATACTAATTCGGCACGGGCAGCCGGTACTGTGGCACAGAAATCCTGGAGCTCTGATGTAGACATCTTGATCGGCCGCGGCGCAGCATTCAGTAGACCCGCTCAAAAACCGAAAGTGTGGAAACAGGTGCCGTCGACAAATTACGTTATGCAAGGGGTTTGGGGAGCGTACAGACTGCGATATGTTTCGCATCTCTAACCCAATTAGGGCCAAACGAGCGTTGCTGTTCAATGACGATACGCGTAACCGGTGCGTAATAAGTGTGAAAAAGGGTTGACAAATGTGTAGCATAATTTGTGGACGATCCCATGTTAAACGTGGAACACCGTCTTCCGCCGTAGAGCGATGATAGTGTAGATAAGAAAGCTGTTCGAGGCGATGCGGACCAAGAAATGGATGGCTGCTCGATCTCGCAGCGGAAAGACATGCAAGAAGAAGCCGGCGGAAAACCGGTGTGCTGTCTATATATATATATATATATATATATATATATATATATATATATATATAATATATATGGGTGTGGGTGCGTGCGTGCGTGCGTGCGTGGGACCCTGGACCGAGCTATGCTGTCGCTACTCATCTTTGTCCTGGCTACATTCGACGGAGACTTAACATGCTTCGATTAGATGTTTTGTTTTATGACTTCGGCCAAAACGACCGGCCGGTTCAATAAATATGTTTATTAATTATTCTTTCACGTCAATTATCAATTTTATTAAAGCGGGGTTGCCGAATTCCAACGAAGAACAAGAAAACATGACGGTATCTGCCTCGCGTTCCCAACACCACTGGTCGCCTTCGAGTGTCAAACTCAAATTTCTTACTGGCAATGATACTTCTCACGGGGGCCTCGCGCTAGGTACAGATCATGGCACCTTCACGGAAAACGCTTCTTAAAACAGAAGACGTAACGGACTATGAAATTCGTAATTTAATCAAATACATTTAATAGTCAGTCACGCCGAAGGAAAGCATTGATATGATTGACAAGCAAAGTACGATTTTCGATAAGCGAACTAAAAGAAACTGGGCAGTTATAAATAAGTGCAACACACGCGATCCAGATATATATTCCGTTCCGTCGTGAACCGTCTATGGGTGTTGCTTTTCCATGTACGTCCAGGCGAGTCGTTCGATATGTCCATTATTTAGAGAGAAAAAAATAAATCCATGGGACTTTTTATTATCACGGGGTGCAAAATATGCTATTGAGCTGTGCAGTTCATTTCTCTTGTTTCTTCCCCGGTATGTCGCCAGTCATGGCGGCGCCGTCCCGTCGTCGGTCGCTGAGGCACAGCCATTATGCAGAGAGAATTTCTGAGCCCCAAGTCTTGTGCGAACTCACATCATTAAGTCTGTAACGGGTAGATCTGATTCGGATTTTATTGTTACGCTGTTTGTCAGTTGTAGATCAAGCTTACTTCGTTCGTTTGTTTACCTAAGTACAGTGGTCATGAGCCTATGTTGGGGCCTTGTACTGCATCCCGTTTCGTTTTTAGTTTTAGACTTCAGTGTACTGAAATGTAGCAATACGGGCGGTATGCAACGAATCGTTTCGGTTTGTTTGTATTGAACATGGGCTAAATGAAGAGGCGGACATGTCAAACTGCACCACTGAACAACACTGTATTTTCAAGGTTAAGTAGCACAACAGGATGCCGTGTTTACCTTTCGCGTGCCGACACCCCATTATATCTTTCTTGGACGTGCACAATGCACACGATTCGCAAGCACCTCTTGAGCAAAAGAGCATGTCTGCATGCACGCGTGACGTCATCTGACGCCGTTAGGTCGCTTTGCAGATGTCCGCGCGCTTGGAAACGGACCGGGATGTGCAAGCATGGAAGGAGTACGTTAGCAAGGCCGTGGCGTTCCTCAAGCGGTACTCGCACCTGGCAGACGCCTACATACTGGTGAGGTTTGGGCTATGGGCAGCTTCGTTTGGGTTAGGTGTTTGTGCGTCATTGTGCGAGTCGTTCTGCCAAATCACGGATCTTCATCGTGCCAGGCGGTGCTGCCTAAACGGCGATATGAAGCCATTGATGAAGCGTGAAACCTCGGCATTTTCGTCACAACCACAGAGCCCGGTCATTGGTGTCAAAATGTAGCCTCAGCTACGCACCGTTCCTGAAGAAAAAAGTCATTGAGATATATCATATGAGATAGATCTACCAACCTGGCTCCGTGGAACAACGTACACGGCGCTATTCGCCACAGTGCTTTTTGCCTCACTGGACGCACAGGTGTTTCAAAACATCCTGCTGCCTTACGCTCATGGCAGCTCGCATCCGATATTCATATTCTCGCTTTCATTTCATTCAGCTGGAGCTTAACTACTGTGAGCTGGCTCGGCGAGGGTAAACAGCCGACGGTTCTCTTGGTCTGCCATTGCTTAGTCTGGGGCTGTTCGTTAGTCTTCAAAGGCAGGTTTCAGCTTCGGTGCTGGGGTGCTTTTGAGTGTGTTGATAGAAGTATTTCAACAGGATTTCTTCTTCGTGAAAGAGTCGTGGGAGCACCATTCCGGGCCAGCTGGGGGCAGACATGGACTTTTGGTCTGCCGAGAAGTTATCAGCATTTATAGCTGGCGATGGCACCGATGCTCCCAAAAGCACAAGGTAACTGTCTTCCGAGTGGCGCTAGCTTCCGATGTTCCAACTTCGTGCCAAAACTTCCCCTGGCTGCCATGTTGGCTTCCGTTCGACCTGTGCAAATCATAGATAAGTTCCAGCCGCTTTGACGGGCGCACTCGAAGTTTATCATATCACCTGCAATGGTTCAGTAGCAATTTCAGAAGTGTAATTTCCCCTGTTATGCCGCCGTGGCTGTTTCGGCGTCATACCCTGTGAGTTGCTGCCGGGCTACCGATCTGATACACCGCTGTGCTGAACAGTATTTAGCTGCCCTGTTTCACATTGCATACACATCAGGTGTGAAAGCAAATGTAAAAACCGGGTACCGGCCCCGCACCGGCACCAGCCTAAGTAACTGGGTACCGGCCCTGCACCGACACCAGCACCGGCCCCGCACCGGCACCAGCCTAGGTAACTGGGTACCGGCCGTGCACCGACACCACACCGGTGACTAGGTACCGGCCCCGCGCCGACACCAGCCTAGGTAATGGAGCGCCGGCCCCGCACCGGCACCAGCCTAGGTAACTGGGTACCGGCCCTGCACCGACACCAGCACCGGCCCCGCACCGGCACCAGCCTAGGTAACTGGGTACCGGCCCCCGCGTCCACCCAGCCTAGGTAATGGAGCACCGGTCCCGAGCCGGCACCGGCTTAGGTACTGGGTACCGGCCCGCGCCGACACCAACCTAGGTAATGGGGTACCGGCCCCGCATCGACACCAGCCTAGGAAATTGGGTACCGACCCCGCACCGACACCAGCACCGGCCCGGCACAGACACCACGTAGGTAATGGGGCACCTACCCCGAGCCGGCACCGGCCTAGGTAACTAAGCACCGGCCCCGCACCGGCACCAGCCTAGGTAATGGGGTACCGGCCCCGCACCGGCGCCAGCCTAGGTAACGGTACCGGCCCCGCACCGGCACCAACACCGGCCCCGCACCGACACCAGCCTAGGTAACTGTACCGGCCGCACCGGCACCAGCCTAGGTAGCTAAGTGCCGGCCCCGCACCGACACCAGCCTAGGTAACGGTACCGGCCCCCGCACCGGCACCAGCCTAGGTAACTAAGTACCGGCCCCGCACCGACACCAGCCTAGGTAACGGTACCGGCCCCGCACCGGCACCAGCACCGGCCCCGCACCGACACCAGCCT